TTTAGGGCAGCCCCAAATGAAACAAATCTCCGGGCCCCCCCCCCCCCCCACAACCCACCATTAATCCTAGCCGATGCTCTCTAGTGCAGAGTCATTGTTGAATTAATGCCTATTGCGCAATTAATTATTTCCCTATCAAGCCCACTTTTGTCTTTAAACGCAACCGTTTTACTGCCTGTGATAATTACGCTGCCTCTGATCACTCTCTCAAATTTAATGAGGCTTGATGAGGAGGCCCAGCATCATTAGCTCTCATCCTTTTTAAATTACCATCTTATCACACTTGACAACTGTGTTTCAGGCCTTGGTAGACGGCGCTCAAAAGTGTTATTTCCCATTAACTGAAGATTTAAAAACATAATAATCCAGAGATCATCTCGCAAGCCAAGAATCTTCTTTTTCCTCTTCCAAATCTGTCAACTTCCTTGTCTTTGCTCGCTAGCAAAAAGCAAAGCGCACTGGGCTGAATTTCGGTTCTTGCTTGAAAAGAGGAAGGGGGGGAGTTGATGACATCATGCCCTTCAGGGCATCATCATGCAAACTGCACAACTTGTGTCATTTGCACAATGATACACATGACCTCATCAGATGCCTACAGGAATATTTCTATTGCATTCTATGGGAGAAATTGCACAGGGTTGAAAACGGAAAAGATTCTTGATGTCTAGACAAAAATCTAGTACAGCAGGAGAAGGGGGCATTGCATTGCTCCCATTATATATAAAAAAAAAACCAGGTAGAGATAAATTGAATGTAATGCACTTTACAGCTAACTCATAGAATTATGATAGCGTGCTGGTTGGGGAATTCTGGGAGCTGAAGTTCACACCTTAAAGTTGCTGAGATTGAAAAACACTGATTTAATCCAACCCCCTGCCCAGTGCAGAAATCTACTATAGGTAGCCCTCATTTAGCAACCACAACTGGGACCAGCCACTTGGTTGTTAAGCGATGCAGTCACTAAGTGAAACCATGACTGTGCTTCACATCTTCCTTCAGCTTTCCTTTGCTTTACCGACCTGCAAAGGTCATAAATGCAAGTATTGGTCAGAAAATTACTTTTTCATCACCGCTGTAACTGTGAACAGTCAGTAAATGAGGCAGGCACTAAACGAGGATTACCTGTACTACTGCATCCTGACAAACGATTATCCAGCTTTTGTTTAAACATCTCAGGCAAAGAAGAACCCAGCACCTGACACAGTCTGTTCCATACTTCAAAAGCTCTTTCTTTTAGGAATTCCCCCCCACTCCCAATATCCAGCCCAAATCAACTTCTTTGTAATTTAAACCATTGTTTCATTCTTGCCTTCTGGAACAATTTTGAACCATTCTGTCCCATCTTCTACATGACTGTAATGGTACGGGGGAAAGATGTTGGGAGATGGGGCAAAAAGACGCTGCCTAGGGAATGGTTAGATAAGAGCAGGCATAGCCCTCAGCTGCATAATGGGTGGAGAAAGAGGCTCAGAAGGGACCCTCCCTAACTTCTCAGGCTGCAAAGGAGACCACAGGAGTTTTGTACTTTCAGACTAGCAAGATTCTGTTATCTTATCTGGCCTTGCTTCCTGTCTGGTCTACCTGGTAAGGCTGACAATGGCAGCCCTTCAGTTACCGTACTCAAAGACAGCAATCACATCTTCCATATCATATCTCAGCTTCTTTCTCCCAGTTAAATACATCCAGTGCCTCCAGGCATTGCCCATAAGGCTTTCTCACCCCAGCCCCTTAGCATCATGACCACTCTCCTCTGGGCATGCTTCAGTTTTGTCAATGTCCTCCCTAAAACGTGGTGCCCAGAATTGGACACACAATCCTACGTTTGTTCTGCCAACGTGGAATAGTAAGGAAAGATGACTTCTCTTGATTTTGATACTATAAATTGGTTGGGGCTGCCTAGGATTGCGTTTGCCTTTTTCGCAGCTGCACCACAGTGAGTTATCTTTTGATTTCTCAGACAGCTATTTGCTCCGATTCAAACACTGTGCTAAGAGGGGGGTCAGCAACCTCTTTTGCTGCCTGAAAGGTGCCACCAGAACAGGAGATGAGATGAGATTTTGGCACCCATTTTGACCCTTCGCTTCAATTCCTGAGAAAACCCACCTAACTCCTTACAAAATTTACAGCCTCTGCAAAACGAAGGGGAATCGTTTTTCCCTTTAACTCCGCCCTCATCTCAGCGAAACTTTAAAAGAGTCTGAAAATTTTATCTTTGGCACAAAGCCGCTGACAAGCAACGTTAAAGTGGCTATCTTACCTTTGAAGCTGATGTTGACTTAATGACCGCATTTGCTCAACGGGTTAAGCTTAGTACAGTGCTGGCTAGCTAAATTCTTTTGGGGATGAAGTGGTTATGGGCACATCCAGCCTGCGTGGCTCGTTTATGTTTCCGTAAATTGTGCCGACCTAGGAAATGAATTAATTCAGTAGCCAGGCCGAAAGGGTTGCATGAATGCAGGCAGAGTATCGTACAAAGCCAACTGTTCCCTCTTAGAAGCCATGACTGAACTTTAATGGATGACCTGTGGAGCCACAGATTGAAGCGTGCCAGAGGACGGAACCGGAGATGTGGCGGCCATCCTTAGAACACAACAAATGGGAAATCTTCTCTTCTACCAAACATTTGGTAAATGTTTTACTACAAATACAGGGTTCAGCTCGAGTTGAGCTCAACCCCAATTGATTTCATGGATACAGCCATCCTGATTTCTTGGCAACAACACAACTGTAATTTGCCCTTCTTTTGGATTTTTTTTTCCCAATTTCCCAGCCTAGCTTACAATCCTTAGATTCCCTGGTGGTCTCCCATCCGAGTACCAACCAACCCTGAGTCTATTTAGCTTCCCAGCAGAGGCAAACAGTTGGTACTACCTATTGAAACAACTGACTGTGGCATTGCAAACCCTGAATTTGCAGTTCCTTTTGTAACTATATTTTGGAGGGGTGGAAGATAGTAGACTGGGCAAATCATTTACACGCAGAAAAGTCCCAGATTCAGTCTTCACCTAGAAAGATCTGTCAGTTGATGATGATTTGATAGTAATGGGACCCTGAATTTAGCAATATGGTGCCTGCAGAATTCCAAGGGCTGAAATCAGGAAAAACAGACTCAGTAATATCTTTGGACATCACGGAATTGCTCATGAGGTCACGTCAGAATTTTTTTTTTTTTTTTTTTCTCCTGTGATTGATGCATTTTCTGGCCAGGATGGGGGGGGGAAGGTTTTGTTCACCAGGAAAAAAAAAACCGGTTCTT